GGAGATAAAGTAACTAAAAGATAAAATTAAGGAAAAAATTAATAGTAATACCGAACGTTAAGAGAATAAAGTGATAATAACTCTTATAATTGGTACATGTTATGAAATAATGATAAGATGTGGATGTCCGTTGATATTCTCTAGATGTGGCTGTCCGTTGATATTCTCAAGAAGGATTACAAGATGAAGATGTCCGTTTGCATTCTCAAGATGATAGTCACATGTATTCTCCCTAGATTCATTAGTACATTGGATGAACTCATTTATGGATGTACTTGATATACTAAATTCATGTATTAGTACTTAATAGGGTTCATGTACCTTCTATCTTGGATCACCTATATATAGGGATGAATCCTACTTCCTTTGTAACCTTGTAACATTGGAATCTGGAAGTACTTTGATCAGTGAATATAATAATACTATAGTTCTCTCTTCTCTTCTTACACTACTAATCCAATCCCTACTTTTTGGGAGTTTATTTTATTAGTTTCACAACACGTTATCAGCACGAGTCTCTACTTTGAGTGAAGGAAAGGCACGAAGCAAAAGTGAAGCACGAAACGTGTCAAGATTTTGCCCGAACAACTTTTGGCTACTTATCAAGGTAATATTCTTTCCTACGAATCTATTGCATAGTCTTATGGCTAATCTCACAAAACAAGAGTTCGTACCTCTTGATATTTCTGGAAAAAATTATTTATCGTGGGTATTGGATGTTGAAATTCATCTTGAGGCAATGGGCCTTTGTAATACTATTGTTGATGAGAATGATGCCTCAAACCAAGACCGTGCTAAGGCCATGATTTTCCTTCGTCGTCATTTAGATGAAGGACTAAAAGTAGAGTATCTTACTGTCAAAGATCCTCTTGTCCTTTGGCAAGATTTGAAAGAAAGATACGATCACCTGAAGTTGGTCGTTCTTCCAAAGGCCCGATATGATTGGCTCCACTTACGACTACAAGATTTCAAATCTGTCAACGAATATAATTCAGCCATGTTCAGAATTACTTCTCAATTATCATTGTGTGGCGAAAAAGTCACTGATGAAAACATGTTAGAGAAAACATTCTCTACTTTTCATGTCTCTAATATGCTCCTGCAGCAGCAATATAGAGAGAGAGGATTTAAAAAATATTCTGAACTTATTGCATGTCTTCTGTTGGCTGAACAAAATAATGAATTACTGCTGAAAAATCATGAGTCCCGACCAACTGGTGCAAGTCCATTCCCTGAAGCGAATGGGACTCAATTTCAAAATTCTGGTCGAGGTCGTGGACGTGGCCGTAGAGGTGGCCGTGGAAGAAGCCGTGGACGTGGCCGTGGCCGTGGACGTGATCGTAGTAGATTTGTGCCTCGTGAAGATTATAGCCGTGGCAAGCAACAAAATATTTCCCAAAAGGGAGAAAATAACTACGATCCGAAAGAAGGAGAAAAAAAAGTTTATGAAGAAAAATGCTACCGATGTGGTATGGAAGGTCACTGGTCCCGTACCTGTCGTACGGCTGAACATCTTGTTGACCTCTATCAAGCATCATTGAAAAAGAAGGACAAAGATGTCGAGACAAATTTTATCGACCAAAAGAATGCTTATGATGATGATGATGCTGACATGACACACCTAGATATTGCCGATTTCTTTGAGCATCCTGAAGATGCAAAATGATCATATATTTAATATTTGTCTAGATGTTTGATATATTGTTAGTTTTGCAGGATTGTCCATTACTTTGGTATGTTGTTTGATATGTTGTTAGTTTTATCAATTTACTTTGCATATGTCTATTCTCGTATCTTTTATCAATATTTAGTTTCATTTATTTTCTTCCTGAAGAAGAAATGGATGCCAAATGTTTGGGATTAAATAATGGTGATGATAACATTTGTCTCGTTAATAGTGCTTCTGCGCACACTATATTGACAAATAAAAGATATTTTTCTTCTTTGGAAATGGGAGAGACAAATTTAATACCATCAGTGGTAGTGCAAAATTAATTGAGGGCTCTGGAAGAGTCACTCTATTTTTCCTGAAGGAACCAAAATTGTCGTAAATAATGCACTACTCTCTCCTAACACTCGAAGAAATTTATTAAAGATATCCGTCGAGATGGATATCAAATTGAGACACTGAATGACATAATAATAAAAATCAAGTCAGATGAAAGTTGATTATATCATATTAATCATTCGAGGGTGTAATGGTTATCGATATAGTTATCTTTATTCTCATTTGATTTATAATCATCACATGCAGTAAACCAGAAGTTTACTGATCCCAATGAATATATGATTTGGCAAAAGTGAGAATATTTGAATGTCGACAAGTATTTATACATACCCCCTTTACATTATACATGGCTCCAAAAGAAATTTATGTCGGATATGCATCATCTTTTACGATTAAATATCGTAAAATATTGATGAATGATCTATTGATGAATGATCTATTGATGAGTGATCTATCCCGACATTAGGGGGAGGAAAAGATCAACCGAAAGGAAATCATCTGAACAATTGGATTTCCTCGATCCTCATACAAAACAATGTGAACTAGAAGTTCAAGAAATTCTTCATTTGAAGAAAATTATATTTATCGACTCCAGAAGAGTTATTAAATCAACTATTCCTGCAGGAAATACTCTTGTTAAAATTGATGTCCCTGAAGGACATGTACAAGTGCTACAAATAAAGGCCGGCCTACCTATATAAGGTATACATTGATTTCAAATATCTCCGGAGATTAAATAAATGTCATGACAAAATTTAACCTCCTGAAGAGGTCGCTCCTGAAGAGCCAGCTCCCGAAGAGCCAGCTCCTGAAGAGAATGAAATTATAGAAAAGTTATTGGAGCCTAATGAAATGTAGCACTTGATATTATAGAAGTTGATGAGAATCATGAATCTAGATCGGTTGATGAATGTCGGCATAGAAATGATTGACCAAAATGAAAAGGCCAATACAATCTGAATTAGATTCACTGGTTAAAAGAAATGTTTTTGGGCCTGTAGTCCAAACGCCTGAAGGTGTCAAGCCAGTTGGATATAAATGGATTTTTGTGAGAAAAAGGAATGAAAAGAATGAAATAGTGAGATATAAAACAAGACTTGTAGCCCAAGGCTTTTCACAAAGGTCTGGATTTGATTATGATGAAACGTATTCACCTGTAATGGATACGATCACATTTAGGTATCTTGTGAGTATTGCAGTGCATGAAAAACTTGATATGCGTCTGATGGACGTTGTCACTGCTTATTTGTATAAGAATCTTGACAATAATATTTACATGAGAATCCCTGAAGGATTCAATATGCCTGAAGCATGTAAATCAAATCCTAGAGATATGTATTCTATTAGAATACAAAAGTCTTTGTATGGGCTCAAGCAATCTGGACGTATGTGGTATAACCGCCTCAATGAATGCTTAACTAAAATGACCCAATATGTCCATGTGTTTTTATCAAGAGAAATGGGTCAAATTTTGTGATTATTGCGATATATGTTGATGATCTCAATTTGATTGGAACTCCTGAAGAGATCCAAAAGGCTGTCGAATATTTGAGATCAAAGAGTTTGGAAAGACAAAATTCTGCCTTGGTTTACAAATTGAGCATTTTAGAGAGTAAAATTTTTATCCACCAACCTACTTATACCCAAAAGGTATTAAAGCGATTTCGTCTGGATAAAGCACATACATTAAGTACCCCAATGGTCATCAGATTATTGAATCCTAATAAGGATCCCCTTAGGCCACAAGAGGAACATGAAGAGATACTTGGTCCTGAAGTACCATATCTCAGTGCATTTGGTGCGCTTATTATCTTGCTAATTGTACAAGACCAGATATATCATTTGCTGTGAATTTATTAGCAAGATTTAATTTCTAGCCTACAAGACGACGTTGGAATGAAAAATGGTGAGATTGATGTGCTACAAATCCGATCGGATAATAATTTGGCAGATTTGTTTACCAAGGCTTTGCTGACTGCTACGTTTGGGAAACTGGTGAAGAATATTGGTATGCGTCGGCTAAAAGATCTCATATAATGTTTGCATCAGGGGGAGAATTTATTATACAAGAATAGTGTACTCTTTTTCCTTCACTAGGGTTTTTATCCCACTGGGTTTTTCCCTAGTAAGGTTTTAACGAGGCATATTCTTTGTGTCATAGACATCCAAGGGGGAGTGTTATGAAATAATGATAAGATGTGGATGTCCGTTGATATTCTCTAGATGTGGCTGTCCGTTGATATTCTCAAGAAGGATTACAAGATGAAGATGTCCGTTTGCATTCTCAAGATGATAGTCACATGTATTCTCCCTAGATTCATTAGTACATTGGATGAACTCATTTATGGATGTACTCGATATACTAAATTCATGTATTAGTACTTAATAGGGTTCATGTACCTTCTATTTTGGATCACCTATATATAGGGATGAATCCTACTTCCTTTGTAACCTTGTAACATTGGAATCTGGAAGTACTTTGATCAGTGAATATAATAATACTATAGTTCTCTCTTCTCTTCTTACACTACTAATCCAATCCCTACTTTTTGGGAGTTTATTTTATTAGTTTCACAACAGTACAAACATTTTCATGAAAAAGAAAAACATAAAAGTAAACAAATGAAAGATTGAATCAAATTGGTTGGTAAATCAACTGCTGACATCCCTGCGCCAATATATAGTCCAAAAAATTTTTACCCCTACAAACCTTTTGGTTTTGAAAAATGTTCTTCATCCAAAAAAGTTCAAAAACTTTATGCCGACTCCAAAGGCCATCTATGGTTGTCTCCAGTGATTATGATGTTGGGTCATGATTTGTTTGTTCTTTCATAAAAAGAAATGGTATCAGCCGAAGGAAACAAAAAAATGTTTCAAATGCTTAGTAACAAAAGAAAGTTTACCGGGTCTAAATTGTGAAAAATAATTTCCAAAAATTTACCGCTAACCCCTGTTGCGGTTCAACAATAAAGCGAGCCAAAGAACACACACATTACGCCCGGAAAATTCACATTGAGTGGCCCTCAAAACTATCAATTAATTGTGCTTTAACTTGAAATCCCACATTTCGGTTCTGGAAATTCACAGAATTTGTCACTATTCAGTTCTAAATAGACCCCAATTAGACAGTATGCAACAAACATGGGAAGCAACCATATAAAGGACCGGCTGGGATTTTGTAGTTCAAAGACATTCTATCTACGCATTACACGGTGCCGTTCTCGCCTTCGGAACCGCTCAAGCATGAACTCATCCGTGGCAGCCTGTCTTTGAACTGCTGCCTCCGCACCTGATTCGACCGGTCTAGACTCCTGATCGCTTTTCTTCAGATCCTTGTCTTTGTACAACTCTGGATGTTCTGCAAAATTTTGTTGTTTGGTTCAATAGAAACCATAACAATCAGGAAAGGGAACATTGATCTAGAAAGGTAAGTCATATGCAAGGCAGGATCAACATAATATGCTTTAAATCTTGAGAAACCCACCACTGGGCTACCTCATTGCCCTTAATCTTTATGCTTACAAAACTTTGATGCAATTGAGTAAAACTATACATGTGAGGTGTCAAAATTCATTATTTTGAACCAATATACAATATCACCCATTTGCCCACAACCCAGCTACGTCGGGCCACAACATTTATTCACTTCTAAGACCAACCCCCTGCCCTCAACACAAAAATCATAAAAGAAAGAAGGAAAAAAAAAATGTTAGTATTACATCAGGTTTGTCAGAACATATATGCTTTCCCATACATAGCACCCATCTACTGCACAAATGGATTGATTGGAAGGAGCGTAAAGGCTTTAAGGGGTGATTAAATCTCCCAATTGTCATTGGAGGGAAAGAATGGGTGCTAGAAGCAGGGTTTACAAAATGAAGCAGGGCCAAAACAATACCCATTATCCCAAAATCTATGCAGACAAGAACGGATTTCAGATACCATAGCAAATATGGGGAAAAAAAAACCCTTTGGCAAACATGAACAGGTACAGATTTGCAGAATAGTGTGGCAAATGCCACAGCAATGTAGATCAACTCCTGTAAGAAGCTATTTTCTAGAAGTCACTAGGCTAAGTTAACTATGCTGTTGTAATGGAGGATCTGACGGGTAGAAAGTCTAGTTAAACTAACCTAAGAGGATCTCCATAAGAATAACAGGTAAATCAGAAATATGTACTGTTACAAGCACATATTCCAGAAGATAACCATTTAGCACATGTACAAATCTTATGCACAAGGAACCTGATGAACGAAGCATAACCTATTTTCTTTTTTTCTTTTTTAGCTTATTTTAATCATTACTTCTCTTACTTCTCAAAGGTCATCCTCAGTTTTCCTTACCATTCTAAATACGGCCAAATCTGCTTCCAAAAAATTTCTCATCTTTTATATAACGATACGATACAACAACCAATGAGTATGCGTCCAAACACAAAAGTTTCGCACACTGCTAGTCTTCCAACAATGTGTAAATCACATAAGAAAGTTTCCTACTTGTGGTATAAGAGTTAAAAAGGTTCACTTGAATGCGTAATATCAAAATATATTCAACCAACAACAAAAGGATTAAGTTAGACTGGATTCCCTCAAGGTTTGCCAGGTACTCTTTCCTCTCCCTTCACCTCGCCTCCTCGGCTGTCTTATCTCTTCCCCTTGAACAACCCCCCCCCCCCCCAAAAAAAAACCTTTTGGCTAGTCTAGTGAGGAACCATCTCAGACCATAAAGTGAAAAAAAAAAAAACATAAATGCGGCAACCTGTACAGAATTGATAATACACAAATCTGGAGTCAAGTGCAAAACCACTTGCACTTTAAGCCTCTTATAAAAATATATTAAAGTGGGTGTCCCTTCTTTTCGGAGATATCTACCTATAATTGCTGCTCCTACAGTTCGAATAGAAAATCATTGTAGAACTAATATGATAGCTCTAGAGGTTTACACTTTCTTTACACATGAGAGACGTCATACTAGATCATTCAATATTTGTTTCCAATGAGATCCCATCTTCAGAAAATTAAATCAATATACATGAAACAAAAGAAATAGAGGTCTTAAGGCAATATCACATATATAACAAGGTTAAATGTTTACCGCAATTTACATTTTATTCTATAATCACTCACAATCCCAAATTATATCAAGTAATAGAGTATTTTCCATTTCCAATCTAATCAAACTAGAGAATGAGCTAATAATATGGCGCTTTTTGCTATAGTTGAAAACTCCCCAAGTGAACTGCCAACTCACATAACCAAGCCAGTTTGGTTTTGTTCAGACAACTTCTACACTGAAGTTAACAGTTCAGCTTGAAAGAGCAACTAAGGGTGGTGTTTGATAACCCCATTAAGCACTTAAACTTAATGGATTAAGCATTTTTCCTATTAAGTTTGTTTGATAACAAAACTCCACAACCTCTGAATCCATTAAGAGACACTTAATTTCTTTGAAAAAATTTAAGTGAAAATTTAATCATTTAATTTGCTGAATGTTTGAACTAGAGTAATATTATCCATCAAAAATATTATTTCACATACTTGCACGCTTTCATACATGCACACAGCCTCTTTCTCTTTCACATACGCACACACATATAGTCTCTCTCACGCACACTTTCTCTCTCTTTGACACACTCTCTCTCCCTCTCACATACACTCTCTCTCTCTCATGCACACTTGTCTCTCCGCTCTCTCTCTCTCTCACACACTAACATTCGTTGTTTAGCATATTTTATTTCAAACATAACTCGCTTATTATACACAGACGTGCATTTTTGTTTCCAACACGCATTTGCATACATAAACACCATACACAAATTCACTATTCGTATTGGAATTTCAGTTTAACAATATTAATGAGTGATATTTAAACTTTATAATTTGTGTATAATAAAATTTTTTCATTCAGTCCATATAATTTATGTATAATAAAAGTTTTCATTCAGTGCTCAAATTCAGCAGATTATCAAACCGGTTTGACTAAATGAAATCAGCAACGTCAGTACATAAATTTCAGCCTTCAGATTTCAGTTTTATCAAACACCCGTAAATCAAATGAAATTGAGCCATGGATTGGATCAGCCCAACCCCTGATCCCACCATTCCAATCTACAACACTCAACTAACCCACAGCAAACCCCCTCCCAAAGAAAAAACTCTCTCACCTGCTCGCTAACCATTCCTCTCCTTCACAAACTTGCCTGCCACCCATTGACCCCAGTCTTCCCCATGCTCATCCCTCTCCCTGAAAAAGAATCTAAGCTTGATTTGCCACTTCATGGAGGCAGATATGGCATTGACATTATTCTTCTTGGTTTTGAGTGATGATAGCAGGTGGGTAAAACCTATCATACTGAGGCTAATCGCAGAGGCTGAGGATAGCACAAATGATCCGTGCCAAGTGTTGCAATATTCCCTAAGCAATCGACCAGGTATGCAAACATACTCAGGTATACATACATACTTAGGCAAACATCAGATCATAGAACCAAATAAGCATTTTAAGTGAGTAATTGCCACCAACCTCTCCTAAGCTTCTCGGCATAGTCCTTCCCGCGTTGCAAGTAATCTGCACTATAACTTGAGGGAATACTAGAGTCAGTTTTGGTGCGACTCATGAGCCTTTTTTCTTGTAAGAGCTTTTTGGCAGCCTCAGTTTCCTCAATATTCCTCAATTTGTATCTGTCACAAATGGGAGAATTTGAGCACATCTTATTGCATAGAGATCTGCAAACTGAACCTATCTGTATAATGTTTCAACAGAAATTAAGATGTTCTATTCTTGACACAGACAACAAATGCCACCTCAAGACATTTTAGTTTTCCCAACCAAAATTAAACAAAAAGTTTGCAGTAGAGATACATCATGTTGTATAAGACAAATTAAGATATGCCTAGTCACAGTGAGGAAAATGAGCATACTCCATGGGAAGCTGAACCTCGGCAATACCAGTAGTCCACTGCGTAGAGCTTTCCTCTGAATTTCGCCTCTTAACCTAAGGGAAACATTAGGACACTTCATAAAAAGAATATTAAGTAGATAAATCTTAAAAGGATATTGAACACAATAAAGTGGGAAAAAATGACTAATTTCAGTGACCAAAACTCCTTAAGTAGATGGTAAACTGAACGCCCCATGTACAAAATCTGCACTTGATTAGGCCCAAAAAAGTAGATAGTACAATTTCTTTGATTTCGATTGATGCTGCTGTAATCCTCTACAAAATCTTACTTTTACAGTTATATGTATGTAGTATGATGCCAAAAAAGTTCTTCACTAAGTTTGTATGGCCATTCGTCACTTTATGAAAAGGTTGTTTCTGTATCCCCATACAGTTTTCAGCCATGAGCAGTGACTAACTATTTTTGGAAGGTGGTATTGATCCTTTTATCCAAGAGGAATAACTTCTCATCACATTGCAGCAGGGACATTGGGTATATTCACTTTTAAATTAAAATTCTGTCCTCTTAGTATTCCTAGCCCAAGAAGCTTTAATCCCTCGAGAATAAACTATTTCCTCTGTAAATCTCCCACCTTTATTTTCTGTACCATCTTCACAGGACAATAGAAGTGGAACAGCATATTGGCTTATTGTGTTAAAAAATATAATATCGGTATTCCTAGCCTGAAACTAAAAGACTGAGGAAAGGGTACGCACATGTAGGTACAGACGTTAATTTTTTAAAAGATCTACACCATTTGTCCTCAACACATCACGTCATCCTCCATAAGGAGACTCTGCAATAAGGTAGAGATTTCCAATTTGAAGAATAAACTTGGAATTAATGAGAAAGACAAGACAAAAGGCTCTATCTGACTTAACCAACAAAAACAGCTATATGAAAGAAAAAAAATAAACTATTGGCATCTTTTTTTAAATGGGAAAAAGAAATGAAGTATTGATGTAATTAAAAACTAATACAAAACCTTAATAGTAAAAAACCTAAGATGATTATTTGCAGAAAAAAATTGTGTTTTTGTTTTGTAAAGACCACTCATCAATTACTTCACCTGTGACATGTAGTGAAGTCAAGTGGCACAAAGATAAGTCTTATCTTCAGTTGAAGGCCAGGATGATTACCTTAAGACAAAGAATTACTAAATTAGCTAAAACCACTCATGTACCACTCATCAATTACTTCACCTGTGACATGTAGTGAAGTCATGTAGCACAAAGATAAGTCTTATCTTTAGTTGAAGGCCAGGATGATAACCTTAACACAAAGAATTACTAAATTAGCTAAAAGCTATCAAATTTGCAGTTGAGGTTCTTTTGCTCTCATTCTTCTGGTTTTTAAGGAAGAGCAAAAGAATGTAGCACACTTACTTTAAGGTGCTCTGGAATTTCATAGAGTTCATCTTCTGCACGTTTTATATCAGTCTCAACTTCATTCTCGACACCAATATTCCTGCCTCTTTTCTTCGCCAATTCTTGTTCAACATATCTCAACCTGCTCATACAAGAAGATAGCAATCAATTGCAGCATCACATTGCCTATCTATCTTTATGAATTTCTGCTTTATTTTGTTCATAGCCTCTGTCAATGAAAACTGTACAGGCGTGTAAAAAGCAAGAAAAATGGACTGTTATGTGCATTTAAGCTGTCAAAATTGTCTGAGACAGGTGCAAAAGGGTTATTAAAATTGGTTGGTTTTTTATGGTTCTGAGTCAAAACTTTTGCGCATTTGCAGTTTCATCAGAGTGTTAAGCCTTTTGCTTAATTTGAAATGCAATCTGGTTGAATCGGTTATCAGACCAGGTCTTCCTTGGCTTCGGATTTTGTTGACGTGGATTAAGCTTTTTGATAGATTTCAAGTCAACAAAACTCAGAACTATGGATAAGGAGCAAGAAGTGATTTCATGTAATTATGAGGAGCTTGATGCTGGAACTACAAAAGCCGTGGGAGATCTCCCACGTGGGCCAGTGAGATTTTGAGAAAACACAGCCCATATTTGGACTCAGTGTGCAAAAGGATTTGAGCCAAACTCTAACATATCTCTCTGATATTGTAAACTTTATTTCTGGTCAATGCAAAAAAGAATTACGAAGAGACCATGAAGCTTCTAGCATTTCATACTAATTAAAAATACCGTCATTTCCACAGAGACCGAGCAGTTCCTACTGAGAAAACTAGCAACTAAACAAAAAATGGAGAGTTTGGACAAGTACACAAAAATTCCATAATGTGATAATATAAATGCATGGAGATAAATATATTAAAGAAAAATACCCTTTCACATGGGAAGTTACTTGACGTTCCCTTCTCCCCAGTAGTTTCAGTTTATACAGTTTAAAATGTAGACCTATTTTTTCCCATATCTAGCATGATGACGAATTGGGTTTAAATGAAAACCAACCCAAAAAAGTGTAACTTAGGGAGTCAGAGAACCTGAGGATTGATTGTTTGTAACTAAACTTTGAGCATTATCTACGTAGAAGCATATAAAGAAGAAAGAGCTCTAAACAAAAACATACAATGAAATGAACAAGTCAAAAGAGAAAAAGGCACAAATGAGTACAGAAGATTTCATACATATTAGGGTCTTCAACCATCACAGCAGTTTCCTGAGCAAAAGTATCCTGCAAAACCAAGTCATCCTTCTCCCCATCCCCATCAGTTTTGTCATTTCCTTTCCGGATCAAACCACCACTGTTGCTGTTGCTAGCCCCACCCACCTGAGTTGTCATAGAGATGGCTGGAATTCCCAACTTCTTCTCCCTCTGTTTCTGAAGGAACTTCACCTCCTCTAGCACCAATCTAAATGCATGTTTTAGCATAACTTCCAAGAAGCATCATAAGAGTGACAAGACTAGCAAGTTAACGGTACCTCCTTTCTTGGTCATCATCTGAATCACTTTTGCTGTTATGAACAGAGTCTTCCCCTGATTCAGCTGTGCTCCTTTTGCGAAAATTCTTCTCCTTCATCTTGTTTTCTTTTGTGTTCGAAAAATTAATCATACACATATATCAGCATTGTTTAAAGCTCAAAGAACAGAGAATACAATGAAATAATTCAAATCTCTGCAGAATTCATTGACTGCTTCACAAAAAGAATTTCCAATCCAAAAGTCAAAGCTTTAACACAGAAACATTAGTGATCATGCACGTAAATGTATTAGCACCGACAGATAAATACAAGAAAGAACATAACTAAGAACCTGTTATATCAGTTTTGTCAAAAGTGGTCACATAGTATATTCATCTTTTCAGGCTCTTCGCTAAGCATGAAGGGTTCCAATATCCATTGGAGGAATTAGGGGAAGCATGTTGGGTCACGCACTGGCTGGGTGATGAGGAGAGAGATAAATTTCATATGTAGGCAGGGAAGGGGAAGAGAGCTGTATTTGAATATGTGAGAGCAACTTTCTAAGAGTCACGTTCTTCAAACAGTATTTAACGAGAACATCAGCCCTTTTTGAGAATATAACAAATTGTCACATAACTCAAAATTGTCACATTTTGAGAATATCACTCTTCAGAAAATGAAGAACAAGAATATTAGCCCTTAGGGATTTCTGTAGGAACTAATGCCACAAATTATCTAATAATTGCCATGTCTAGAAGATTCAGTCTCCTATGGAAATGTAAAATCCAGAAAAATCTTCTATTTGATACACCTCAAAGATCTTCATTATAGAACACGTATGAACTCCTTAAAGAGAATGAAGAATAGATAAACTGCAGCCATAATTAGACCTGTCAATTCCCACCTATTGTGCAAACCTCCTCAAACCTACCCTATAGATTGCCAGCAAAAAACCACTACCATGCCATCACAGCACCACACAGGTCAGCCACCAGACATAAAATTTTTCAAATCAGCCATGAGCAACTCTCAAAAATCAATAACAATTCTTGAGCAGGTCTATAAGCAGAGCAATAATTATGTGTTCATAAGAAAGAGAACGAAGTGACTTGCTAGAGATCCGAACTAGAAATAGTAATGACATAACAGAAATAGAGGAAGACTCGAACTGAAAAAATATTGACTTGCAACGTCCGGTACCTAAAGACTTTGCAGTTTGAGAAAAGACATTGAAATGAGGGAAGATCAGAAAGTCGCATAACTTTATAACTTGCAAACTAACCGTCAGCAAGTCTACCTTTTCTTTACCTGTTCCATTTACATGAAGAAACAACCAGGCAGAAGTCTTTGAACACAAGGCTTTCAATCACAAGGCTTGCAATCACATCAGATAGATGGTTGGACAAGCATGAATGAGAAATTTTAGGCATTCCTTCCGGTCCCCCCCCCCCCACGCGTGCGCGCGCGCGCGATGAAAACCCAAAAAAAAAAAAAAAAAAACAATGAGAACAGCATCTTTAGCCGACATTGGCATGCTAAATTGCTTGCTATTTCCCAAACGCAAGAGTCATAAATTCAAAAAAATAAAAAGAAAATAAAGATATTACAGTTAGCTATTACCCAGAAACGACTAAACGAAATTTAGATGCGAACTTACCTAGCCAAGGGAGCTGTTATGCGTTCTTCGATTTCTCAACCTCCAGGATACAAAATTGACTAAGTTACTGACCGAGATAACTTGCAGAAGGGGAATTAGGGTTGAGGACAACGAAACTGTGAGGACTTACAAAGGCAGAAGCGAGATAGCTGCAAGTGAAGAAGAAGACTACGAAGCAGAAGGGAAAACGAGACACAGAGAGACTAACCGGTAACCATCTACCATTTGTCGGAGATCGGGTATTTTGTCGAACAATTGAGGGCTGGGCTTGGGTCTAAAAACAGGTTTAGACTAGGATCATATTGGGTGGGATTTGGGTGTGCTGCAACGTAGGCCCACTTCTCAAACCCAGGTTACGTCCTAGGTATACCCATCTATTATTTTACAAATAAATTGTGACAATATCTGTGCATGTAGAACTTTGAACTTTCAAGTAGGGATGAGAGACAAACTTATAGAGTATTTGGATTAAAGCTCCTGCAGAATAAAGATTTTTTGGAATTTTTTTTATATGCATTTTTGAAATACTTTTTTTTTTTACTTTGCATATAAAATATTACTACAATAATATTCTTTAAAAAATTTAAAAAATTACAAGCCAAATAGGACCTTAGTATGTCGCATGATGATGCCCAACTTGGGTTAAAAATTTGCAAAACCGGTACATAACTTGGTATGTAATGTTTTAGTATAATGTCTTCAAGTGACGTGCATACCAATTACCAAAGACGGTATTAGAATTTTCAAGTAATGAAATTTATCTTAATTGGATTATTAAAAAATGAAAATTTTCTCTCCCATCCTCTTCTCATTCCTTCTCTGTCCATCTCGTCCACTCCCTTTCCCTCCCCCCCCTCCCCCTCGCAAATGACGACCAAAGGAGAGGAGGAAGGAGGAAAGGGAGAGGGAGGAGACAAGAAGAGCGAAAAAAAAAAGAGGAGGTTGGCATCGACTAGCGATCGAGGTGGTGGTGGATTGAGGGAAGAGGTGGAACGAGAAGAAGGTAATGAAGGGAAATTTTTTTTGCAATTAGACTTATCTTATTAGTATGTACTTCTAATTACTTGTAATTAGACTTATCTCATACTCAGTAACTTTTAGTGATGCTTAAGTATGTTGTTAATTAGTCGATTGTTCAGTGATATTTTTTTTTGTATATGATCAGTGCTGACAACATAAGCAACCGTATTATCCCTACAAATAACTATTCATATTACTAATAGAGAGTTTTAAAAGTAATGTGTATTCTTTATAAACCTTACTTCATGTATTATTGGTAAACTTTATTCAATTGCACTTATACCCCTTAAATTTTGTTAATTCTTAATAGCTTTCCATATTTTGTCATTCCTCTGTTAATATAACTTGACAAGCAGCATGAAGGGTAAATTTAATACAAATTTCTCATCTCACTTCTTAAAATTTTTTTTTAATGGTAACTTTTCTGGCATGGACTGAATTTGCAACACAAACCTTAAGTTTAAGGGTGGTAAGTGCTATTTTCTAAATCATAAGGGAAGTGAGTGCTAATATTAGAAATCTCGGGGGAAGTTTTTGCAATTATCCCTTAACATTATTCTAACCAAACACTAGTTAAGGAATGAAAATCGTAAACAAATTGAGTATCATCCCAGTTAAAACATTTCCTGGCGGAAAAGTAGCCAGGGCAATCAGGTTTCACAATAAATCATATATGCAAATTTGACAAAGTGTCATACGAATATAAAGGAATCATGCATTACATTAAATCATCTTTCAGTTTTTTGCGCTGAACTGGTTCGTCTAACAAATAGCAAGACTGAATAATTGCAAACTGATTCCATCTTCCAGCCATTAGCAACTTAGGCTCTTCGTCAGCACTCAATACACAAATTTTTCAGCGCTCCCCGTTGACCTGGACTGAGTAACAAGCTGAAAACCTTAAGAAAACTGAAGGCGTGTTAAGTCAATAACCAGATAAACAAAAGCAAACTTTGTGAATTCCGAAAGACACTCAAGATTCTCTAGTTCACAACTGTAGCATAAACATTTAATTAGTCAGATAACTCGATCACCGCCCCCCAGACGGGCATGGATTATGGTACTTTTTGCTATGTTTAAAGCACATTGTTACTTCAAAATTGTACATGTAAAAGAACTATAATTTCTCTATATACCTCTTTTTTACTAGAAAATATATGGAAATTAACCATTTTAAAACTCGTAACTGCTATCAAATGGAAGTAGTTATTAATTGGAAGATCCAAATGCAACAAAGGCATCCCATCTCAAAGGAGTATTAATCTGTTGTCTACGAGCACGTAATAGTTTTGTTGATTAGAATGGGTTGTCCAGGTCACATCCATCATAAAAGTCAAATACCAAATATTTCGATTTGGTGGAATTTAACCTCACAAAAGCTACTGAACAAAGTCACAAAAACAATCTAACAAAAAGTTTGACAATGATTCTAAACCCATACCTGAACCAACAAGAGCGTTGAATGTACAACAAAGTGTCGTCCCCAACGGTCGAGTTTGTCAAGATCATCTCACCAGGTGGGGCTATCCATTAGTCAAGGTTCGCCCAAGTATATACTCTGTAAATGCTGGAACCAAGTTAAGTTCCGTACTATCTCTTTTGAGGATCATCAGACATGCCCTGGACAAAGGACATACAAAGAAAGATGTAACCACATAACTTGGTAGAAAACTTGTCCCAATAAATGTTTAACATCATGTACCACTAGCTGGTAGACATTGAGGAATTGTTGTCAATAGATACTGATGTTATAAATCGATAAACAGGATCATACAGATTTGGTCATTCTGATGCCAGATAAACCCTAGAACCAAGGGCAGATCCACATAATTTTGAAAAACTGGACAAGTCTCCAGCAATTTCCAAAATTTTCAACTCTGCCCACTAAATTTTAAGAAATGTAAATATACACAACTTACTTTATAATTTGATGGAAATGGAGTACAAAATAATCAGAAACCATATGCCTTTTACTTTAGTCTTTAATTCCCTTGGAACTCATTATATTTTACTACTCCTATGCTAAAGGAGTTGTTTGGGCTTTTTTCAATATAACAAAAAGTACATTACTTCAATATGCCTAGAAAATGATTAGTACTGCCTAGTAAATCAGAGGTGACATATCCTAATAAAACAAAAACAAAAAATGTAATCCTAACTATCACAAAAAGTCGCAGGGACAAGGGAAATTGAAATGTTCTGTATGCTTTTTGAAAGAAAATGATTCTTGTATTGGTGAATTTGAGTATGTTATTTCCGGTTCTATTATACATGAAATAGTTGTAGTACTATTACTTGTTATGTGAATTTCGTTGTTATATACAAAGTTTTTAAAGGAAGAATTGCCCCCACATGAAACTATACTTCTCAGAAAATGAAGCATGAGAAGCCAAAGAAGGAGAAGGAAAAGAAGAATAAAACTAATCAAGCTTGGTGCAAGATGCACCAGGGTCAACACTTTTACAAGTTTTACAATGAAATGTATTTAAAGTGCTCTAAACACTTTCATAATGATGTAAACCTGGAAGCTGCAAAGTTTAGTGCAAGCAGATAAACTAGCATTTTTTTTTGGCACATCAGTGTGCAAAGAGTACCAAAAAAGGAGAGCAAGTGCTCCAGAAGATACTTCACAAAATTAAACCAGCCTTGACAGTCTTATATTCTTTTGCCAAGTCTTATAATCAGTTTTGTTTGACATGCAAAGTTTCGATGACAGGACATGTGGAAACAAATAATGGTCATTTGTGGATCAATACCATAAACGCACAACATCAGCTAACTCGTCATAGTCATTTTTAGCCAATTATACCAGTCTGTACTTCCTTATTTATACTGAACAAGGACCCTCAACATGTATTTTTGCAAATAGTAACATCTTAAGTTTCTTGCTCTGAACATAATCTTGTAAACCAGGTTTCAACCAAACACAGATAAGCAAATGAAACACTGAGAAACATCTCGGGAAAGCTTATTAAAAAAGTGTGGGAGGGAAGAGGTTGGAAAAGGACAAAAGTACCCCCTGCTTCTATCTTCTTCTCTTGACTACTGCTTTAGCATCTCCACTGCCCTCTTCAGAGAACATAAGTCCAGTTGATATTGTGTCACAAGCACCCTTGGAAAAAGAAGTTCGAATAATAGCAAGAAAAGAGAGCCACAAAGCATCTGAATGTTTTCAAGCAAAGGTCCATTATATTTATACAACATAATTTAGATAATTCTGGGGTAAATATGATGTGAATGTAACTAAACAAAAAGGTATTCTGGGTACTTCGTATCAAAACTCGAATGACTCTATCAACATGAAGGCTAGCATTGGCATTTCAGGTGGTGAAGTAGAGAATCATGGAATATCAGTAATATTTTGAATCTACAGAGCCAAGTTTGCTTAACTAAGATCATCGGTTGATGTGCAGAAATTATCCTTCCTAACAAAGCAAACAAGCCATACAAGAATTTCACCATTAAAAAAAAATCTCTTAGAGCAGGCAGGGGAAAACATAGAATACAACAAATGGGTATAGCTACAGAAACAGCAGAGAAAAGAATAACATATTAACTAAGATATGCCAAAAAGGAAGGAAAAAAAGAACATCTTAGCTACATGGTAAAGCTTAAATAGAGATCTAAACATTTGTATGCATGAATAATTTGAATAGACTGCTTTGAAAATTAGACGAACTGAAAACAGTGGATATAAAAATTTGTGTCTGATTCTCGTGCGCATAAATCTCTGAGAGAGCTATTCGCTAATTCTAAAAGCTGAATCTCAACAATGTAAGAAGGGAATAAACCACGTTGCTGATGTGTTGTTGGCAACTAAACCGTATATGCCCCAAAGCTCATTCTGGATTTTGAGAAGAGTGAGGGCCTCATGATTCATGGGAAGACACTCCTAGGCCAGTTATTCACTAAAAATTTGGAATAGACAGAATAAGATTGCCTCTTTCATAAGCTACTAACAATCAAAATCGGCAATCAGTCCCCTGTACGACCAATATAACAGTCTTTTGGAAGTAGTAATGCAAAGGAAACAGGATGAAATAATTAGAGATGAACTGCATACTGAGGAGTTAATGACTACATTACCTCGTAAACTTGAACTGGCACTAAATACATGCAGAAGGGTGGGTTCAAATCCCAGAAGTGCAGGACTTCTGGGATTTCTAAGTAGGTGTCCAGCAAGATAGGGAATAAATTATTCGCCCTTTCCATCCCAGCAGCAACCACTGACTGTCTTCATCAATGACAAAATCTTTGTGGTAACTTGACGTCACCTTTTCTATTGCCTTTTTCATGATTTCCCGATCTAGAGGGATTCGCCTGAAGCCTGCCCTTAGATTACGGACTTGCCACTGCTTATATGTTTCTGGCCTCTCAACTCTCTCCCAACCTTCGCAAGCTATGACATTCAGAGCTTCTCTCCCAAAAATTTCTTTCTCAATTAATGTTCTTTCTGGAATCTCCCTTGGTACAATAGTTTCAAGCATATCAAAAAGAGCTGAAAAGTGGAAGAGAGCCTCTCGGAAGCGGGTGACAAAAAAGGGAGCACTGTAGGCTCCATTCACAATCCCATGGATGAAGATATCTGGATTAATGCTTCTTATCAGCTTGAGAACGATAGTTCTTGAACTCTCTACAGCCACAGTCTCATCAAATAAGTTCTTAGATCGGTATATACAATTCACCACAACAAATTCACCCTCTTCAATCTTAAGATCCTCAAGTTTGATTGTTTCCCATTTCTTAGCTAGTGCATTGTATTCGAATGGCACCTTAAACATCTTAGCATATTCTGCCAAACGATGACCTGTCTCCTGAATGCGCTCTGCTGGTCGGAATCCAGGTTGAGGAAACTCTATGCCTGTAATCCGAACCTTCGGAGGGCCACCCTCTCTTCCTGCAATACGTTGAATAAAGGTGGGCCACTGGAAACCGTACAGGATACCAAAATCTATGACATGAACCCTCACGGCATTTTTCGATTGGATCATGATTGTTTTGTTTGAAGCAAAATTTGAGATCTTCCTGAATGGGCATGATGCTAGATATAGATGAAAAGCTTTTAAGAAATCAGCAGCAGATGTCCTTTTATTCACAAGGGCCTTATATATCTGGCTACCAGTGCCAGCTATCCGTGCCTCAAGACCTTCGGCAAAGCAATGAGCTAACCTTTGATTCCCATCACCAAAAGGAGAAGCATGCTGCTTGATCTGTTTGAGCAGCTCATTTGCACTCCTATGGTCATCAGCAGCAACAGCCTGTGCACAATGAATCATGAGGGTTCTTAAATCTATCACCTCCTTCTTCCCATTTTGTTTCTTTCTACGACCCTTTCCCCCACTAGATCCCTTCAGTTTCGGTTGCCCATTCTGAAGCATAACTTTGCTCTTGGCAGTCCTCAAGTTTGCTCGATAAGCTGCCAGCGCAGCCTGACCCTCTCCCATGCTATGAAGCAAGACTACATCAAACTCCTCTGATCGCACAGTTGATTCAGTGAAAACTGCTGCCAGCTTGCTACTCCTCTCCTCTAAATCTGTATCCCCGCCATGAGGGTTCTTCCTCCCCCTTGACCCAGTTGGTAGGAAGTTCACTTCATCTCTTCCCTCCTCCTTAAGTATTGGCTCCTCAATTTCTTCCGCCAGCTCCACGGGAAACAACCCGTTGATGCTGAAGTTTAACAACTTATTGCCATCTGGAAGAAACTTGCTAGCTTCTTCAACACCCTTCTTGAAATTCCAAACAGAATGGCTCCCATAAGGAGGACTAGACGGAGAGTCCAGGAAGCTATTCACCGTTGATGAGCTAAGTGATGAGCTTGGAGCACGATGAGCATGGAGACAGTGAACAAGAGAGGTAGTGTCGTAATGAGCAAGGTTGTTCAGGGAACTAGGTTCTGCTATGTAACTTCCAGGATTGCTGCTTGTACTTGTCAGGTTACACTGATCCCCAGAAAAGCATTCATCAGGGCTAGCACCATTTTGGAAGATAAAAGTAGGATGCGGCTCAGGGGAAGGAGGGTACTTCTTGCCAAGGGCCTCATAAAAAGACTTTTCTTTTGCTTGGAGATCCAACGATTCTTGAAGCATATACGCCTTATCCTCCATATCTTCTTCCATAAGCATCTGGTTTATGTACCGCAGAACTGCATCGGAAAAATCAAGGTCTTCACTGAAATCATCCTCAACACCCAGACTGGAAGTTGAGGTTAAGTTACTCGGGGAGGGATCGCTGGGAAGGAATTCAACTCCTCCATCAAAGTTGTATTGGAGAGGGGCATTTTTAGTTGTAAGGCCGTGATTCGCCCGTTTCTGGTCCAGATAAAGAGTCTCAAATGCGGGTCCATTTGGATTCAAGTCCCCAAAGGTGGACAGGTTTTGATTCCTCAATCGAATCCCTGTTGCAGAAGCCGGAATCCCAAGAAAACTCGGATCCATACCAATCGCCAACTAACTAGAATAAGAAAAACTCGAACAAGACTCTTTGTGAGTTCGTCAACCCTGAGATTTATTTATAACCTACAAAGTGTATTCCGTAGTCAGAAAGGTGTCTTGAGAATTTGTCCCGAACCCTGCAGCAAAGAAGAGGAGGAGGAAGTGGTACCAGTCAGGATTAATTGACTTCATCACTCTCCCAGAAAAAAAAAATTCATATCGAGAGTCAACATTACAAGATCGTTTATTCTTATTAATTATTGTCCTTTTTCTTTTTCGGTGGGTAAAAAGAAGAACTATGAGAAAATCTGCACATACTCGAGTCCGAATCACAAGTGGAATTTAGGTTGGATATGTAACATAGGTCCCCCTAAATGCTGCAAGTTGAAAATTACTGAGTCATTTTGATTGTAAACAAAGATATAGAGATGAGCAACAGCATTCACCGGACAAGAAGAAGAAGAAGAAAAACGAAAGAAACATACCATTCGCCCTAGCCATCGTCATTGCCACATCTATGATCACTTTATTGTGTGTGGATTAAATACTAGTAATACTCACGAGGAAACAGCGTACAATAGAATAGACAAGGAAATCGCACAAAAAAACAAAATAAAAAAGAAAAAGAAAGTGCTGGTGGAACCTGGGAGTGGGCGGTGGTCTGGTGGGAAGACTGAGCAAAAGTTAAATAAACGAGCGAGAGGACTGAGCAAAAATCGAGATGGACCTATACGCTGTTAGGAGAGCCTCCTTAATTCACCGGCTATGTTTCTACAGTATTTATAAAAGCGGGTATTTTTTTTAGTAATATTAAAGCAGTCTAATCTAGAGAAACACGTACAATCAGAGCCGTTGAGGGAAAGGTGACATGCAATTGGAGCTGCCCAAGGTTTTGGGTGTATTCTCCGAAAAAGGTTTTGGGTGCTCGCAGGGAAAAAAAGAGGAAGGAAAAAGAATCTTTTGATTATGACGTATTAGGGATAATTTGAGTAAATTCCATTTTGAACTCCTAAACTGTACGCAGTTTCCACTTCAATCCCTAAACTTTAAAATGGGACACCTAAATCTCCAAACTATTGAATCCGTTCCAATTAAATAAAATCGTTAATAGAATCCACAATATCGTTCAGGTTTTTTGAGCGTGTAAAACACGCTATTGACCAAGGATAAGGATGAAAATTTAGAAAAAAGATATAATAAAAAAGAAATTTAGTTAGCACAAGGAAGGGAAAGTTTCCCTCCTTTTATCTGACGCATTCGGGTCATATAATTGATTCAATCCAATTTACAAAAAAGAAGAGATGTGTCCTAAGAAAATAGAGACCAATTGGTTGAATCTCCAAATGAGGGGTTAGAATTAAGAAGAAAATAGCTTTAGAAAAGGAGACAAAGAAGAGATGGTTAGGGACACATCAAAAAATTACTTTGTTAGGTGACTAGATATACTTAAATTCAATATCCAATATCGACTTGAACTTTTTAAAAGCCCTCCTCCTAGACTTGTGGGTTCAAATTCTTCGCCTTAATCAAGTCCTATTATAGGTAATTTTTTTAATTTTCCTTATTTTAATTTTGAAAAGCCCAAAAAATCATCTTAAATAAAATTCTTAAATATCTATCTTTTTATTTTTTTAAAGAAAAATCGGGTGTGACTTATAGGAAGTTAGAGCTCCACAAAATAAATAAATAAAAGAATAAAAAAAAATTTGTACTTCAATTCTTCAAGTGAGACTTTAAGGTTGCGTTTGGTTCTATAGAATTGGAATTGAATTAGAATTGGAATTCTATAGAATTAGAATGCTATGAATTGGAATTTCAAACCATTGCAATTTTTTTGTTTGGGAAATGCATAAAATTGATATAGAATTCATTTGAAATTCTAAATTCTTTCTTTGAATAAGAGAAGAATTCATTCCCTCAAAATCTGGACAAATAAGCTCCCAAAGTCTGGGTTTAAAGTCCATGGGTGGCCGGTTCTGTCACCAATTGGCTGAACCGTGTTGCTTTGTGAGTCTTCCTTAAATTGTCTGTTTGGGTCGTTTTTTGATGACTCTCCGAGTGTTAATCTAACTGTGTGCGTGTGTTCTTGATCTTTGTGAGAAAAAAAAGCTCACAAAGTTTATCAGGCTTTCCATCACCGAAAAAGCGATGCATCAAAATCATTCCCTCAGGTTTTACGTCGTCGCCCAGTCCATCTTGACCTGCTCTCATTGCCATGTCATGGGCAATGTTACCTCCAGTGCTGTTGCCAGAGAAGAAGACCTTGGTGAAATCGGCATGGTTGTTATTTGTTAATCCATGAATTGGGGCCTCGTTTATCTTTGGCATGAGATGTGACCCAATTAATCACTGGCCAATAGTCGTCGTAGCACGCGGGCATAGGGAGCTCCGGAGCCAACCTGTATTCGATGGACATGGCGTTGATTTTCTCCTCGACTATGAGAGAGCTAACGTAATTATGATATTGAACGGAGAAGGTTGATTCGATGACGAAGGCACCACCATGGATGTAGATGAAGAGGGGACGTTTCTCATTTGGTTTGATTGTTTTGGGAAGGAATAGCCATGCTCCTACCTTGTTTTCTAGTGAGATAATGACGTCTTTTGATCAGACACCACCGGTGACAGCGTTAGGATCTTCCGGATCTGACGAAGGGGAGTTTGACAGAACTTTTTGATGGGGCTATCTTTGAATACACAAAAGAAAGGAAGAAAATTTGGTCCTTTTTTTTTATATAGAAGTAAAATTGAGGTAAAATTGTAGTCGATTTTATGTCTAATCACATTGCAGGCTCCAACAAGGGTAAAGATACAATTCAAACCAGAGTTCAAACTCACCATCTTGAATTAATCAACTACTTTAATGACTTGAACATGAACTGTGGATCATATGTTTGCATCAGGTATGTTTTTCAGTGAAGAGAAAAATTGCAGAATTTTATTGTGATTGATGCACTATAATCACAATCATTTTTTTCTTCTAGGTTTAGCTTAACGAGATTTAATTATGACATAAATGCTGACACCAGAGGCAAGAGCAATGCTATCAATTCTCACTTCTTCAGGTGCCTTGCTTATGGGCAATGCTACTTGGCACCAACAATGCAACAAACGAAACGTGCAATTTAGCTAGTGTGACACTACTCGTATATTTATTACTATTTAATTGTTAATATCGTATAGGTGAGAGGGCTTTCTTGCCCCTCTTTTAAGTGATTTTTCTTGTAGGTGATCTGACAATAAGGAGTAAAATTTAAATTAGGGAAATGTTACTTTGCTGATGGAACTAGGCCTGCTCACGACTCGAGCTGCTCGCGAGCAGCTCGAGTCAAAGCTCGGCTCGAGCTCGGTCAACACGAGCTCGAGCCGTTCGTCAAGACACACGAGGCGAGCTCGAGCCTTCATTTCTTAAACTCGATAGCTTGACGAGCCGCTCGTTTGGCTCGAGTAAATGTGAAATTATAAAAATACCCTGAATCAATTAAAATTTACAACTTTCTGCACACTTGACTCGGAGTCTAAGTTACAATCGACTGTCCCAAACTCCTTCGATTAGGTTAACTTCTCTCCGCCGACCGACTGTCCCAAACTCCCACTGCCATCGCTGCTACTGCTAGCTCCCTCTCCACTTCCTCCCACTTTGGCCACTGCCATTGTTGCTACTGCTAGCTCCATCTCCACCACTTCCTCCCACTTCCCCCACTGCCATCGCTACGCAGTAGCTCCATCTCCGCCACTTCCGCCAGTTCCACTTCAGCAACCTCCAAGCCGCCCAAGAATTTGAGTGCGCAACCCACTGACGGAGGCTGACTAACGGACGAGGATCTGGAAGGCCATCTCCGGGCTTTGTCTAAGCTTTTCCAGCGTCGCAAGTGTGCCACCCGCTGAGCCCATCTCCACCACTCCCTAACGTCATCCTCATATCAGTCCACTGGATTTTGTGCCTAGATTTTGCAGGTATGTACTGAGATTCTTTTTCTTTTCTTTTTCCTTTTTCTTTGGAATTTGGAAGGTGATCCACTTTGCTCTGCTTTGAAGTAGCAATAACAAGGGGTAAATGAAATTCGATGTCATGCTTTTTGGTACTGTCTTGATGATAGTTTGATCTACTGGTTCTGTTTTTGCTTCCAAGTTGACTGATGGTTCTCTCCGTTCTTATCCTTTTTGGGTTTTCCAAAAATCTGCTTTTTAAAAGCCAACCTCAGCTGCCCCTTGTAGCCTTTCATTTCTGTTTCCGTAGGTTTGGTTTGAGTTTGGGGATAAGAAATTTGGGTTCATGTGAACTTGATTGATAGGTCTTACTCGAACTTTTGTATAACAAGATCTGCGTGTGATATTGAAAAGAGTGGTGAAACTGAAGTATTTTAATCTTATAAGAAATTTTTATTTTTTGAACTATTGCTTGCAATAGATTCATGTCAATCTTGAATATCTTTAGATTTTGGTAGAATGTTGTATTTCTTTTTTTGTTTTAATTGCTTTCAAGCTTTTGTGGGGCAGTCGGCAAAATGGACAATAGGAAAAACAATGGAATCCTGTTACCATGTGCTTCTTTGCTGCTTTAGGTGAAAAAAAAAGAACTATTTTCGTTTGTCTTCACATCCTACTATCCAAATAATTTATTCACTATCTCGTATTCTTGTTATGCAGGTATAAGTTCTTTTCCTGGCAGAATGCAATTCCAATTCTTCTGCAACTTCTTGCATTAGTGAAATGCTTGTTTAGCTGAATTTTATATTGCTTGATAGAGGTTTCAAAGTGTGGTTCTTTTCTTCTTATGATGGCAGAAACTATTAATTTGTATTAGTGGATAATTTTGGAGAATTTGTATTAGTGGACATTTGGAGAATTATGATTGTATTAGTGATGTTTCGTGCTTAAATTTCTAGAAATTTTCGAGCTATTTTCGAGCTCCTAACGAGCTAGAAATCGAGCTGCCTTCGAGCTTCATGCGAGCCAGAAAATCGAGCGCAACTCGAGCTATTCGCGAGCCAGAATTCGAGCTAAACTCGCGAGCCATAAACGAGTCGATCTCGAGTTTTCCTTTTCCTACATCGAGCCGAGCTCGAGCTCTATTTTTCGAGCTCGCATATAAACAACCCTAACTCGACTCGATAAGTTCAAAACTCGACTCGACTCGACTCGTTTGCACCCCTAGATGGAACCACCCAGAAAGCAGAACCAAAGGAATTATAGATGAGGAGACTTTCTTAAATTGAGAACACAGAGAGCAAAATAATACGTGACAAATCTAAGAGGATTCTTCATGGAAGACTCCCTAAACACAACTAATTTTAGTAGCAAATGTTAAGCATTATAGAAGATACCCTCAATACATGTTTACTTTCTCACATCAACCCATTTTATTATTTAATTGGACAAATCTGACCTTGCACTTCTCGACTTTGCTTGATGTAGTACAACCAATTTGACAATTGCAAATTAATTTGAATTTTGTCACATGAGATGGTAGAAGAAGAGGAAAGACATGCCCCTATTGAAAATAATGATTTGATTATAAACGTAATTATCACTTTTAGAAAAATGAAATGATGAATATTATATGTTTTTTACAAAATCAATGATTTATAAGTAAATATGACCCATGTGCATATTTTTCCAAACCACGTTGCAAATAATTACTTTTACTGAGTGTATATTTGTATTTTCATTTAAAATCTCCATGTAAAATGACAAAATCATAATAAATTTCAGACTGCTTGATTAATTGTTTCATGTCCAGTAATATTGAAAAATTTAAGAGATAGATCAATCCAATTAGACAATGAGAAAGACATAATAACAAAGGGACATTCTTAATGGAGGTATTTTGGAACTAATATTCATTTTATACACACGAATTAGTAGATCCTAATTATTTTTTTAAAAATAATTATTTTATACACATTGTAGATCATAATAACATTGTAGATCCTAATTATTTTATACACACGAATTGATTCTTCATCCTACTAGGAATGTAGGTTTTTTTTTAAAAATATTATTTGAGTTGCATCATAAACAAAAATGTCAACCAATTTTTTATATTCTCAACTATTCTTTTTATCTCACATACATCATATTACAAAAAAAAAAAAATACTACAGTGTTACAAGCACCAATTAGACAAATCAAATTCAAAATATATCATTGACCATAATTAATAAGTGTGATAGACGAATTACAAGTAACTCAACCCAAGTTGCCAAATTGTGATGACTAATCCTTCCCATATTTGGTTTCCCAATTGACACTTTCCAACCGACCCGTTCGAATTTACCGTTAGCCGTTTGCCAGCAATCAGTGGACGCTATATATATGCTCGTGTCTGTATTCTTACTTTCCAAAAATTCAAGAGAGATAGAGAGAGCGGGATAGGAGAGAGAGAGGGAAAGGGAAAGTGAGGAGAAAAATCAGAAAATTGGGGACGCATTTGTTTCTTGGGAAAAGAGTTGCCTTTTTTTTGGGGCTTGATTCTGTCCAGAGTTGGCTGTTTTCTGGAGCTGTGAAGAAAGCTTTTTGAGGAGAAACGATTTCAGGCAAGTATTATTTCTCTTCTCCTTTCTATTTTTTGTTTCCTTTCCCTGGAGATGAGATTCTTCAAATTCCGTGCTTTCTTGCTATGCATATTTGCTTTCAATATCCATTATTTGCTTTCAATTTTGACCTAATGGCAAATTTTCAACGAATTTGTCCGATTCATGTCTTTGCTTTCAGTTTCAGTGGGTTTAGACCTAGTTATATTGAATTATGCTTCCAATTTAGTACTGATGGTGTAGATTGCTTATTTTTTTTTTTTTCAAATTTGTTTGAACACTCATAATTATTGCGTCTAGTTTTTACATGTTAGAAACTGAAGGTCTTAGAGTGTTGATGCAAATTGAAATTTAAAAAAAGAGAAATAAAACGAAATTAGTGAGCAGTTGTTTCTCCATGGTTGTTTCAAGCACTTTTGTACCCCTACAAAGATTTCATATCCATATCAGTAGGCCAGAAATTCACAAAGCGGTATACAAAGGTTGTGAGTTGACCTATGAAGTCCCTCCAATCCTCTAAACGCGTATGAATGGACTTCTGAGATTAAAACAACATCGACCTCAAATTTGCATTCTTGATTCTTCGAATTTCAATTTTGGCTCTGTTGAAAGCCCTTCAGTTTATTACTACCCGTTGCACCTTCTTAAGTGCAAGAGGAGCCAATTATGCATGCCTATCTCCTTTTCTCTGAAAATTGAAATCTAGTGATTTTTTAGGCGCATACTACTATAGGCATCACCCATTTAATTCCGGTAATTTCATTAGTCTATATCAACAATCTGCAGCCATCTCCCAATTAGATTTCAAATTGTCTAGTGTGATTTTTTATTGTCTTCGTTGGGTTTCAGCCTTTAATGTTATGTGGCATAATTCAAAAACATGAACTGATCTCATGGACTGATTGTTCACTTTGTTTCATAATTCAGTGTCAAAATGACTAAAATCAATACAAGTATTAATCAAAGCATTTATAGCAGGCTGCATGTAATTTTTTACTAACCATTTTGGCCTCAGATAGTGTAGTTGCTTGACTCAAAACACCTTGTGGTTTAAATGATGTGCCGTTTGCCCTATATGGCTTATTTCATCGACTCATATACCTTTCTATTCGACAAGGAATGAGTTCTTTTTTTTGTAAGCCAAAAGGGGATAGATGGTACCATATGGAGTTTTTTAGTCTTTCAAGTACACTATCAGCGGCCAGAATTCTTTAGTGAATAATTTCTTTGTTGCCTACATTAAAATCTTTGGCTAATACTTTTAATGATTTTAGACATATTGAGACTGAAATCTGAAATGTAACTGCACGATTAGTACTTGTGTCAGTTTATATTTTTGAACTATGCTGCTTATCAGTAGAGATTGAAACCCCATAGAGAGAATAATGAATCACACTAGAAAATTTTAGTTTTGATTTAGAAATGGCTATAGATTTTGTCAGAGACAAATGAAATTTTTGGAATGAAATGGCTGTTGATTGCTTTTTTTTTTTTTTCAAATTTGTTCGAAGACTAATAATTGTAGTGTCTACGTTTTACATTGTACGTTAGAAACTGAAGGTCTTAGAGTGTTCTGTCTACCTCTCTGTTTTGGTTCTGGTTTAAGCAAAATTACCATAATCTTTTATGTTGATGCAATTTGAAATTTAAAAAAAGAGAAAATAAAATGAAATTAGTTAGCAGCTGTTTCTCCATGGTTGTTTCATGCTTGAAGGGTAGTCATATGGGATTCCGTATGGTGGTTCTTTATTCTCTCATTTGGGTTTTGATATCTCATGGTAAACGGCATAATGCAGAAACATAAATTTAGCTCGTAGACTGCTTGTTAATGTATTTTTTTGGGTATTTATAATATCAAGACAATTAACAAAAGCCAGTGAAATATGAATTAAGGAATATAGTGTTGGCAACTAGTAAAAGATTGACTAGATTTTATGGCCCCAGATGGTGGAGGTGCTCCAATCACAAAGCTCCGATGGTTTAAATACCGTACCATCTGCCCTTCATGGCTTATTTTATCTACTCGTAAATCTATCCATTTGGTAGGTTAATGGGTACTTTTTTTCGTAAGCTGCAAAGGGGTAGAAGGTATATTTTTAAACCAAATGGAGCTTTTGAGTCCCGCAACTAGACTATCCAGGGCCGAAAAGTTAACTTAATACATATTGCTTACTTTTAACACTTTGATTAGTTTGACTACTGCTAATCATTTTTAGATTGAAGTATGGAGAACTTTGGATTTTCTGTTGCATGGTCTGTTCTCACTGTTGAATTGTAAAATTTGTCTTTTCTTGCTTTATTTTTGCATCAGCTGTCGTTTGTTCTGCTTAGTACACTTACTGAAAGACATGTAGCTTGATTACAATAGTGCTGCCCAGGCATGTTCTGTAGTAATTTGTCTTGTGAATAATGGTATTCCTTTGTCATATTGCATTTGATATTTAACTGATCTTGGTGATTGTATGGGATTCTAGGAAAAAAAATGAAAAAGATTTGTTTGAGTAACTAAAGGCTTAGAATGGATTGCTAATAATTTCTTTAGTTGTTAACTGGCAACAAGACTGTTGCTACCTTTCATTTAGGCTTTGAACTTTTCCTTGTGACAATACGCATGAGCCACTTTTGGTTTCACTGTATACCATCTGCGCAATTGTTTGGTAAAAAGTATACTTTTGGTTTTACCCAATTGTTGGGTAAAAAGTATATGTTTGCCAGTCAACAGTATCTCTACTTGTTTCTATCTTCCCTCTTTTGTCAATGTGGAACTCTGAATGAAAATCCTACTGCCATTCTTAAATGAATAGGCCTCTCTCTTCCCTCCAGGTTTCTTTTCAGATGACTTAACAGATTCTAGCTTTGTTGCTGATTTCTCCATTTGCTCCTACTTTTTCCTTGCAGGAAGTTATTTTAACAAACTTGTTTCCTTCCTTTTTCCTTTTCTTTTATCTTTTTTTATTTTGTAATCCTTGCTTTCTTCACTGTCATACTTTCAATTCCGTTCATCTGATGCCCATTTATTCTTCATACTTGAATAGGAGTCAATCTGGGTATACCCTCTTGCTGAAAAGTGTAATTTCATAGTATAGTTGTATATGCATGGTTGTCTTCTACTTCAAGGCAGGAGTTGGGCTTCTTTTGTATTTGATTGTCCATGCTCAATAAATACATGTTAGAAATTGAAATAGAAAGATATACTCCTCGGAGGACCTGATTTTTGAACTCTTCTTGTAGGTTTAGAATTTATTTTACCCATTTTTCTAAATATCCATATATCTTTCTGGTTATTGTGAAATCATTTAAAGAAAAAAAAAAGAAACTTCCAGATCTCTTAATATGGACATAAGTG